ACTCTAATCACAAGCAGGATGCTGTGTAACAGCGCCCCCTGGTGGCACTCACGTCTCTCAAGTTGAAGGTGATCTCCAAATTGTTCCAGAACATGTTGGAAAAATCGGGATACATGTCTAGCACTTCCAGAAGGTCGTCCCTCAGGATCTTGTGAAGATCACAGTATGTCAAAGCCCTGACATCAGCGCTGGATTTCCCTGACCTCTCGTACAGATTGATGGGTTCACCAAAGATGTCATTCTTTCCTACATACATCACAGCAAAAGTAGTGGGAAATTCAATTAGGCAAGCCCATCCTTGTATAAGCAATAACAGGGTAATGTCAGTTCTTTTATTTATTTTTTGTTTAATGTTTAATGCATTATTAAAAAATATTGCACCACAGTGACCTGATCCACAGCAGTACAGCAGCTCAACACAAATCAGTGGTCCCCACAAACACAGCCACAAAGATGTGACCTGTGCAGCCTGGATAAGCCAGTGCTGGCTCTATTGATGATCAATCGCTGTGGAATGAAAGTGGAGCTGTGCCCAAACACCTCTGGCCACACAACACACACACACACAAGTGTGTGCTGATGTGAACTAAGGGCCAATGTCAGTTCTGGCTGTGACTTTGCAGGAAGAGAAAGAACAAGTAAGTGGAAAACAAACAGGACTGCGAAATAAAACAGATAAAAAAACATTTCATAATCAGATAAATATAAACAAATTAAACTGGTTTTACCCAAAAAAGGTGAATTTATTTTGCTTAACATTGAAAATTGTATTCTGGTCATAATTATTTTAACTAAATGGAAAATGAAATGATTTTTCTTAAAGTGTTAACAAGTAAAAAGCTCTTTATTAGCAACTTGCAGCTCACCCAGTATGGCCACCACCACGTCGTCCCTGAGGATCTCTATAGAACCCCTGGAAATGAAGTATAGGGCAGTGAGAATATCCCCACTGTGGACTAGGGTGTCACCCGGCGGAGCGTGGGTGGTCTTAAATCGCATGGCCAGAGCCCGCAGGCAGCCTTTGTTAGCACCTCGAAAAGCTTTGCAGTTCTGCAGCAAGCTGCGGTTCAAATGAAGGCAGATATCAGCTTGCAGACACTCAGGGAAACCCTTTAAAACCTGCAGGAAGAAATGGGACACA